TTAGATTCCAAACAAAGGATATATTATAATCTGTGATAATTTTAAAACTAATAATCGTACATTCATAAATGTTATATCGAATTGTACAGAACGATATTTCAAGTCGTTCTGGCTTGGTGCCAAGAACAAACTACTTAACTGGAGTATGTGAATTTTACAAAAATGTTGCAAATTTTCACAGACAGATGTCAGGTCTGAAATATTTTAATTTTTTTTTTATTGAAGTTTATATTTAAATGTATTTAAAAATATCGGATTTATAAATACAGATATTAATAAATGTAACGTAATTTTTGTCATATGAATATAACGATAAATTGATTTTTGGTGAATTTTTAAAGTAATAAAACATGTCTGACCTATATTGCCCTTTGTCCTGTTAAACAATGAACGTAAACATGGGGGGCGGGGCAAGCTAGTTTTCTATGAGTTAATGTATATGCTTGTAAAAATTACTGTAATTTCAATCTTACTGTATAATCCATATGAACAATTTGATTATAAAAACAAGTTTATCATATAATTCACAAAAGTTTACATTATCCTTTATTTGCCTTCTTAGTATATCAGAAATAAAGGGTATATTTGTAAAGTCGAACAAGTTAAACAAGAATGATGTCATTGTTATTCTTATTTTGTTAGACTTTTTGACCAATTCATTTAACTAAATGGTTGTTTCTAAAATCAAACGTATGAATGTTGCTAATGCAGCCTTATTCGAAATATTTTTCTTAGATTGCTTCGAGTGGACAGTTATTTCTATCATTTCACCTTTTAATTAACAGTTTAAACACCCAAGAAGATTTAGAAACATTGATATCGTCAGATGCCATTTTCTTAACAAACTCAACTAACTCTTTCCTTCGTGAACTTTGTTAGAGTTTCATTCAAAACATCATCACCGCAGTGCATGTGCACTGAGCGAGACACTATTACTTTTTAAATGCTTTGTTACTAGCGTGTTTAACTCATTCGACTTTATGAACGTAACCAAAATGATGCCATTTGCAAGGACACTTAACGGTTAAGTAATACACAGTTTCAGAGTTACAAACATCCATAATTACAATGGCTAAAAACAGTTATTAAAAATGATCTAAAATTAAGAGTCAAATAGTCAGTTGCAGTTACTATAGGCCAATACAACAATTAAATGCTACATGTAATACTATAATTTGGGAAACAAACACACTTTATATAAAAATAAGAACTAATAAATTTATTAGTATTTAATTAACTTAAATTTTTATCATTAATGTCCAAAATACAAAAATAAAACAAACTTTCTACAGAGCTGCTCAATCTAGGATAATTATTATCCTTATTATAAAACTGAAATTAGAAAGTGAGTTAATAACTTAAATAAAAATTAGCAAAAATAAAATTATTTCAACATAAATTGCAATATCAACACTCTCAGTATGATTTTTGACTATCTGTGTGTCCATGAGTATTTGTCAGTAAATAACATTATTTAAAATATTAATTACTGATTTGAAATGCAATATACCTAAACAGAGTTCCTATATTATAATTCATATACACAGCAACTAATTACAATACATATAATATTTACTCATTTATACTTGTTGATACATAATATGACAGTGTGTTGTAAATCACTAACATGAAGATATTTTCTAATCATGATGATACTTCATTTGTTTTAATTTCAAGATATGTTAAAAATAAATTCTATGGTTGATGAGAAATATAAAAATTATATTTTTTTTAATTTTGAAACATTATTATTATATTTTAGAAAAACTTTCTAGCACTGACTTTATTGTAGGAAACAAACCAACTTATTGCATAAATTTAAAATAATTTCCATAGTCCATAGCCTCATAATTTATCTGTAAAGACATTTAAAACATTAGCCATAATTATTTTAAAAAATAAATAAATAAAACAAGTTTCTAAATTATACAATTCTCTAATATGCTTAACTTGAGTCTTTGTTACTTCAAGTCAAAGAAAGTAATGCTTCAAACACTTTTACAGAGGGCAATGTAGAATGTCTATATACTTATATTGGATAAGAAAAACATTCACATATGTTACTGTAAAAGTTTGAAGTCCAGTAATCCTTAAAAATTACTGGCAAGTCTGGACATTTACCAATACTGAGTGGTAAAACTCCAAAATCCATGATGAAATCCCCATATTTCAGGCTTTTGACAGAGATACTGGTAAATATCCTGTTCTACCGATTGGCTTCAGTAAAAAAAATTTCCATTTTAGTCACCATAGGTAACATTAATCCTAAGCTTAAATAAGCACAGAAAAAAAACCTCAAGCAAAATGAACAAAGAATTAAAGAAAAGAAAAGAATCTGTAATCTTAAACATATATAAGTTCATTTTCTCATTTAATAATAAACATTTTCCAAAAATGGGCATTTTATAATTTCTTATAAGTGTTCTCCATTATTGAGTTCATTGTATTTAAGCTTTATTCAAGTTACTCAAATTTTATTTTTTTCTTTGTCATGGTTTTTCTGTTGGTAAAACTGAACAGTTAGAGAAATAGTGATAAAAGAGTTTTCTATATTCACTGTTAATGAATTGGTACACAATATGTTATTTTCTTGTAATACAGTAGAGCATCGATTATCCGACCCTCGATTAACCGACCATTCTAGTCAGCAAATTTTAAATGTCTGCTAGTGATGTGGTGCTACAACATTTGACTATGTCTTGGTTACTTTAATATTACTTTTGTTAAATTTTTGCGTATTTTAGCTGGCAACATTGACTCGACCATGAAAGGGAGGCCAGTATTTAAACGAGACTTAATTTTCTAATTATGAGTGGTTGTTTGTTTTGTGAGCAATAAAATAATTTAAAAAATAATTTTTAATGATACAATAGCGACAATTATTATTTTAAAAAAATTTTGTTAGGCTTAACATCAATGAAAATTTAACGCGAAGTAGGTTAATGATATACTAATATACTAATTACATGGAATATACTAATATACTATACTAATACTGTATTTTTTTCCTTCTTTTCGGTTATCCGATTTTTTCAGTTATCCAACCAACCCGAGTCCCCAATTGAGTTGGATAATCGATGCTCTACTGTATTATTATACTCAGTTAAACAATGAAAAATGTTTAAAATGAATTATAAATGTAACAAAAAAATTTTTAATTTTCATTTATTTTAGACTAAGTTTTATTAAAGACATATCTACCTTGGAAAGATTTGTTTAAAAAAAATAAAGATGAAGATAAGCTAAAATGCAGCTAATATACTTAAATACAGTAGAGCATCGTTTATCCGAAAGAATTCCAGTCGGCAAATTTAAATTTTCGCTAGTGCTGTGGCACTGCAGTCTTTGGCTATATCTTGGGCTACTCCAATAATTTTTTTGTTGATGTGTGTGTTTTAGCTGGCAGCACTGGCACTTTTGTGTGTTTTTTTCTGAGGACTGTGTATCATGCTGAATCGAACGTTTTTGATACTAGATTAACTTCTAAAGTATAATTTTTTTTGTTTTTATATTTTTCAATATATTTATTTTGTTTGTAAAAAATAAAAAAATAATTTTTAACGATACAATAGTCACGATTATTATTTTAAAAAGTTTACATTAGGCTTAACATCGACGAAAATTCAACACAAAGTGACACACAACAGAGAAAAATTTCAACATGGGATAGGTTAATATATTTTTTCGTACATAATCGGTTATATGAAAAATAAGTTATCCGAAGAACCCCAGTCCCCAATTGATTTGGATAAACAATACTCTACTGTATAATTATATTTGTATGAACATGTGTATACAATATACTCACATAAAAACAATATACACACAAATTCGACAATAACGAAGAATATACAATAAATGTAATTAAATTATTATTATTACAGAATCATTTCTAAAATTAATTAAATTTTAAAGTTATGCACTATTATAATAGATATGTATAAATATGCTAATTCTTTTATTTTGTAAATAGTTTGAGAGATAAGATAATTATGTTAAAATTAAATTATGAATGCTCTTTCAGGGAAAAAATCATCATAATAAATAAATATTAAAATCATCTTTATTAAATTCAGTAAAGAATTTCTTATTTATAAATTCTTTTTGTCAGAACTTATGACAAAAAATGCACTAATGACAACAATGAATAAAGATAAAGTTGGAATTATTGTAGAATAAAAATGAATCTTAACTGATAGAGCAATTGCAGAATTTAGAAGTAATAGTTATATGACAACTTCCATCTTTTATATTTTTCTCAAATTTTTTTATAACCAACAATAAACCTATAGCTGCAAAAATATATTTAAAAAAAAACTATTACATAGGAAACATCTTTACCTGCACCACTATCTTGATTGTCTATTTCTTCTTCATCATTAAAAACTTCATCCTGATATCGAAATATATCATTGCGCACATAATACTTCTTTGGTGACTGTGGAGCCAATACAAACGTTTGCATGAACCTTCTCATTGGTTGACCATTATTCGATAATTCACCTGTTACCTACAAAAATTTACATATTAAAATAAAAATTAGTAGGTTGTCAATGCTATGATTTATCAAACAGTTGAAATGATTAGAGATCTGAATAAATATAATAAAGATTAGCATTAAGAATTAGAAGGAAATTAATTATTTGCAATTTTGGATCTTTATCCAAAGCTGCGAATAATTATAGTTTCCCTCTAAAACTACAAACGAAGATTTTAATTCTAATAATCTGATTTCAAAGAAAAAAAAATTTTTAATCTTTATTCAGTAACAAGAAAGATAATTACAAGTATAAAAACTTAATTACATAACAATGAAACAATTAGAACATGAATTAAAATATTTTATCTCATGTTAATTAATTAATTAAGTAACGGTTCATAATAAAGAATCATTGGGATCATTGGGTTTAGGTCATATCCCAAATGCCGTAATCCCAAAAATACCTAAAACCTCAAAAATACCAAGTGAATAATTTGTGGTCTGTATGTGAGTGCATGCAGAATGGATTTCTGTGTACTCAAAACAACATAGAAGCATAGTACAGAAGATGGGAAAAGTTAGTAGTATTATAACAAACTTTATGCATGTATACGCACAAACAGTAAATAAATGTTTGTTCCACACAAAAATATTCTTTTTATGTTGGACTTTGGGTGTGTATAGATGTTTATTATTAAATGTTTCTTTCCATTACAAAAGTTCCACACTTAAAATTTACAGAAGTTTTCATATAATAATAAGCTGTTCTGTACATTGAGTATTTAGTTCTTTACACTTAAAAATGAAAATAGCCTTTTCAGTTACTGTACTTAACATGTAATTTTATTTCATCATTTTAAACATTAAATATAATTCTAAATAAAGAGAGACTATCAACAAGAATAATCATGAGTTACAAACTTTATACATGTATAGCATAAACAGTAAATAAACACCTTTATTTTCAAATATATAAACATCGACCGAAACCCAATGCAAAGCAAATAGACACCCACAATTGCCATAAATAATCAGGCTCTATCAGCACCATATTAACCATCNAATAATCATGAGTTACAAACTTTATACATGTATAGCATAAACAGTAAATAAACACCTTTATTTTCAAATATATAAACATCGACCGAAACCCAATGCAAAGCAAATAGACACCCACAATTGCCATAAATAATCAGGCTCTATCAGCACCATATTAACCATCGATGGTTATACATTAGGCTTATTATCCTATCCGATATTGAAATTTTTATCTGTTGCCTGTGAAGCCACGTTGAACTTTTGTCAATGTTATGCTTAAATTTTTTTAAAATAATAATCATATTTACTGTGTCATTAAAAATTATTTTTTATGTTGCACAAACAAAATAAATACATTGAAAAATATAGAAACAAAAAAAATTATATTTCAAAAGTTTGTTTTAATATAAAAATTGTGATGCATAGTAACATCTAGTATCAAAAACATTCCGATGTAGACATGAAAATATTCGGGATTGCCCATGCAGGTCAATGAAATCAACACGAATATTTTCGGGAACAACGTAGGACAGGTTATATACTGGAACAAGAGATTGGACTGAAGGTTCGGGTAGTGTAAGTGGGGTAGTGCTATTTCAATTAAAAATTTTCCCCAAAATGTGTACTACATTCACACACAATCCACGACTCACTTCTATCTCGATTTGCCTATAATCTGGATTGTGACTGTCGCTAGTCGAACGTTGTGCTGTTCGCACAGGCAGTCCGCTCGAGAAGAACCTGGCTATTACACGCGATCATAAAACTGACGTAACTATGCGGTAAGTCACAAACACCAACAAACAAAATGGAAGTTTTGGTTAGAAATACTTTTTCTTGCCATACATCTAATAATAGACAGATGTTGTCGTCTCTCCAGATGTCTTTTTTATTTCTCTGTCAATAGCCCGACACGTGTTCCGCAGCCATCTTGTATTTTCTCGCGCGTGTGGGATTGTGGGATCTCTCTTATGACTGGATCTAGTTTCGAGAACTCTCTCCAGTCGATTGCGATAGAACCTCGTTTCAGTCGAGATTGAAATGGTCAAGAGCGTTTGCAACACGGAACTCTCTCCGACCTTAGTCACAATCTAGATCGAAATGCTCGGTGTGAACGGGGTATTAGACTGGCACAACTATTGTTGAAAGAAAAGTATGATGTTAAATAATTGCTCATTGACTATTGTATTGTTCTCTGCTAAAAATATAGAACAGTTATCCCAAAATAATTAAAAAATTTGAAATGAGAAGCAACAGCACAAATCTTTCTACACATAATAAAAAATAATTTCTACACAGAGTGTAGAAATTATTTTTTTGACTATACTAAATCATTTTATTGAGTGATTATATGATAAATATAAATGAAATTATTACAAACAAATATTAAAAACTTAATATACAGTGGGTGATCAGTTAACAATCAGACAATGAACACGTGTTCAGATAACAAACACTACTGAACAAATATAAAAAGAAGCGATGGAAAAGAACAAATACCGATTAATTTTCTCTTGTCTTCGGGTAACAATTCGAAACCTTTTGGAGCACGGGAAACATCAACATCGATACTCAACCCAATACCGATCAGATAATATTTCTCTGAATTTTGAACTCTTCCTTATAATTCCAGCTTTTTGTTTACCTTTCTGACAAATAATTTTTATAGTCTTCGTGAGACTGTTGGATGGGCAATTGTTAAGTTTTATGTCGGGGGTTATTTACAAAAGGTAAAGTTTATCTATCCCATCGGATATTCTTTAATGTTTTAATAACAAATTTCAAATTTTATCTGGGCCTTGCATTTAAATAATTTTTTTGTGGGTTTCTGTTCTCTGAATTTTTGTAAGTGCTTTACTGAACTTTTTATTTATTGATAAAAAAGAAACTGATAATATTATGGAGCCTAAAAAGAGGAGTGTCAAGAACTGTGCTCACCGAAGAAACCAAGTAAGAGATAATAGCCAAGGTAGAAAGTGGGCACAAGATGTCTGATGTTGCTAGGCAGTATGGCTTGAACAGGTCTACAGTAGTCACAATCTTAGCTATGAAAGATATATCAAGAAGTCTCAAGCTGCTAATGGAGTAATGAAAATCACATTTGAGAAATAAAGAGCATTTTAGCGCTCATAATGGAACCTGAAGCTGATCTGACAACAGAAGAACTCCAAGAACTCTCAAACGAACAACACCCAGAAACTCAGCGAAATGTGTTTTCTTTTGAAAAAGAGGAATACGAAAGAGGACCAATGTCGACATCATCTACTAAAGATCTTTTGAAGAAGTGGAAGGATGTCAGAACAACAATCATCCAAGTGGCATCCAAACCAGAATAAGGTTAATGGGGTTGGGGATCTCTACAATTACAATACTATTAATTACTTCTGAAAAATCTCGAAGAAAAGAGAAAAGCAATCAACATTGGACAGATTCTTTAACCCCCACAAA